CGAGGGCCACCTCCCAGCACTGCGCCCTCCCCACGAGGGACCCCTCTGAGGGTCTGGGCTGCCCTTCCAGCCCACGTCGTTTGCACCAAGAGCACAGCCGAGAGACCGTTTCCTTGTGAACATGTTTCTCATCTCGGGAGACACAAGAGGGGCCGCCTCTCTGGCCTCCGCCTCCCAGGCTCCCAGCGCTGCGGCGGGAGCAGACCCGTGAGGCCTCGGGACCCAGACCCTGGCACGGCAGGGCGGACACGTCCATCACACAGGCAGCGGCCTGGACTTCCCTGCAGGGGGGAGGGGGCTCGTTAGCCTCCGTTTAGAGCAGGAGGGAGCCAGGCAGAAGCACACAGACAGACAGCAGGCAGCAGGACGGACCCAGCCCTGAGCAGCAGGCCCCCGGCACAGCCCTACAACCCAAGGCGAGGTCAGGCGCGGGCAGCCCTGGGCCACTGGCCCCCACTCACCTGGAGACGGCAGCCTCAGCCTCAGGCTGAAATCAAAGCAACAGGCGTCTCACTGGTGGGCTTGCCTTGGGCCAGGACCCCCATGATCCGCCGCCCCCCACCCCCCGTGCCTTTGTACCCCAAGCACTGGCTGGGCCAGCGGTTCTCAACCTGTGGGTCGCGACCCCTTTTGGGGGGTCGAACAACCCTTTCACAGGGGTCGCCTAAGACCACTGAAAAACACATATATAATTACATTACGATTCATAACAGTAGCAACATTACAGTTATGAAGTTGCAACGAAAATAATTTTATGGTTGGGGGTCACCACAACATGAGGAACTGTACTAAAGGGTCGCGGCCTTAGGAAGGTTGAGAACCACTGGGCTGGGCCTTTCTGTGAGTGGGGCAAGCTGGGGGCGGGAGGCCTGGATCCAGTCCTCTGGCCAGGCCCGCTCCTCATCTAGGACGTGGGGTGAGCCCTGCCCTTTCCACCGTGGAGCTGGGGCTCAGGGCTGGTGACGCAGACTTGCTCGGACGGGCGCATTGCAGGAGCCCAGCCAGCCGGCCAGGGACACTCATGTCCTGGGCCCAAGTCACCAGCCCACTCGGAGCCCTTGGAGGGGGTTCTTCCGCTTCCCTCTGTGAAACGGACACAGCACCATCTGCCCCGGCTAAAGCCCAGGGCCAGGGAAGGCTGTGAAACGGGCTCTGGAGAAGTTTTAGAAACTTTTTTTAAAAAGAAAAATTTTTTAAAAGCCCGTCTAGGTAAGGGCAGTGCCGTGGCTGTGACTGGCCTGTGGGGGTGGCTCACCACCCACCCGCCCACCCCCGAAATGCTCACCCGAGGGCTGCAGCCTCTCCGGATGGA